CAGGCTTGACGGCTCTGAATTTCTACCCCTCAAACCCCAACTCAGCCTAACTCGGTGGCATTCAATCCATAATTGACTTCCCTGAGCTGTAACAATGTTCAGAATAATGTAGTTTGCATCTCTGGGTATTAGAAAAACCTGGTGATTTGCTTAGGCAGGTTGGTTCTGTTAACCGAGGGTTATCTCTTAAGTGGAGGTGCAGCAGTTTTGCTTTCCTGCTTGCGTAATGGGGGCCAATCTGTAGAATACTCTTTCAAGGGAGCATTCACAATGGAGTGGTTTGTCCCATGTGTCTTTTTGTTTATTTGTTTTGTTTAAAAGACAGGGTCTCCCTCTGTTGCCCAGGCTGGAGTGCAGTGGCATGACTATAGCTCACTGTAGTCTTGAACTCCCGGGCTCAAGTGATCTTCCTGCCTCAGCCTTCTGAGTAGTGAGACCACAGGCACAAGCCACTGTACTTGGCTAATTTTTTAATTTTTTGTAGAGACAGGGTCTTGCTATGTTGCCCAGGCCGGCCTCGAACTCCAGGTCTCAAGCATTCTCCCACCTTGGCCCCCCAAAGTTCTGGGATTACAGCTGTGAACCCCTGTGTCCCGCCTCATATGTCTTTTAGAAAGACGTTTTACCAGCCTTCACTCTCTGACAGAGAACCAGGCCACCCCACACTTAGGAAACTAAAGAACAAACTCTGAAATTTACAGTTTGCTGCTGATAATATCAGCCAAAGATATGGAGAAGGAAAGAGAAAACATTTGCCCCAGTCTCTCCCCTCATGAAAACTTGAACTTCCAGATTCTCCAGGGAACTGACTATAGAAGAATGCTGCTCTAGGAGTTAGAACCTGGGCTCCAGTCTATCTCTGTGGCTCGCTGGCCATGACAGTATGGGAAAGCCCTGGATGTTTTTGTCTTTTGCCCTTTCTCTATTAAAAGAAAAAGCTGGCCAGGTGTGGTGGTTCACACCTGTAATCCCAGCACTTTGGGAGGCTGAGGCGGGTGGATCACTTAAGGTCAGGAGTTTGAGTCCAGCCTGGCCAACATGGTGAAACTCCGTCTCTACTAAAAATACAAAAACTAGCTGGGCGTGATGGCACATGTCTGTAATCCCAGATACTCAGGAGGCTGAGGCACATGAATTGCTTGAACCCAGGAGGGCGGAGGTTGCAGTGAGCCGAGCTTGCCCCACTGCATACTAGCCTGGGCGGTAGAGCAAGACTCTGTCTCAAAAAAAAAAAAAAAGGAAAAGCCGACTGGATATTTCCAGGTTTGGTACTTTTACGATTCAACGGCATGAGAGATATTTTATTAGTGGTAAGAGAAATAGGGAAAATCAGAGAGAAGGTACTCTTAGAATCTTCAGGGTCAAGAGGCAATGATGTAAACATAAACGTGAACTTGCTCCTGGATTGTTTATTCAGAGAGACATCCCCAATATAGTAGAGCAGTCAATATTCTCCCTCAGTTAAAGATCTCTGGTTCTGTGGGCAGACAAAAGCACACATCTCTTCTTCCTTGACAGGGGGAGAACAACCTCTAGGATGGGGTCTTCTGCCTTTGGGCACTTGTCACAAGATGTTCTCTAGCAACAATGGCTCCCAAGACTCCCAAGTTTCCAGATTCCTGTAGTACCATCTTATCTGGGGTTAGGGAAGACTACAGGATAGTGATAATGACATGGTTAATCAGGAACACCTGCTGAACAGCGTAGCTGATAGGAGAGAACAAAAGTCATGCTCTTACACAAGGACATCCTCCAATTTCTGTTTCTGCTATTGGGTAGAACACACCTTTAACTTAGATTCCAATCTGGAAGCAAGTCCCCTCACAAAAGGCATCTTTTGCCCTTCCTTTTACTGTAATATGACAATAAACATTTATGTATGTATGTATGTATGTATATATTTATTTATTTATTCTTGAGACAGAGTCTTGCTCTGTCACCAGACTGGAGTGCAGTGGCACAATATCAGCTCACTGCAACATTCACCTCCCAGGTTCAAGCGATTCTCCTGCCTCAGCCTCCTGAGTAGGTGGGATTACAGGCATGCGCCACCATGCCCAGCTAATTTTTGTATTTTTAGTACAGACGAGGTTTCGCCATGTTGGTCAGGCTGGTCTCAAACCCCTGACCTCATGATCTGCCTGCCTTGGCCTCCCAAAGTGCTGGGATTACAGGCATGAGCCACCACACCCAGCCTTATCTTTTTTTTTTTTTTGTCTTATTTTTCATTTTTAAATTTTTTTGTAGAGACAGAGTTTTGCCATGTTGCCTAGGCTGGTCTCGAACTCCTGTGATCTGCTTGCCTCAGCCTCCCAAACTATTAGGATTACAGGTGTGAGCCACCATGCCCAGCCTAACAAAAGCCATTTAGAGGAACATCAAAAGCAGAAAAATGTAACCAATGGTGACAGAACTCACAACAATAGCTACATTGGGGGTAGGGGAATTTATTGGATCTGGTGCAAGGGAGCTTTCTGGGTTGCTAGAAATGTGCTATATCTTTAGCTGTGTCACTAGCCGTTTCTGGGTTGCTAGAAATGTGCTATATCTTTAGCTGTATCTCTATATAGATTTGTATTTATATCTATAGTTATTTATATATTATTCATCCCAAATAGTTTTGGGCTTTATTACACCTGAGTACCTTAAACAAATGAACAAACAAAAATAGCTGAATACCTTGTCTTACCTCTTGGTTATATGTCTTGATGTGAAATTGCTGAGTCATAAGTTTAAGAAGCTCTGGCCACGCTGTTATCCAAAGTGGTTGTATTAGTTACCATCAATGTATGAGGGTACCAGTTACTCCATATCTCACCAACACTTGTGGTCCTTTTAAGTTTAGCCATTTTAGTGAGTATGTACTATTAACATCCTGTATTTTAATTTATGTTTCTAGAAGGATAATTTTTTCGTATGCTTATTGGCCATTTGGATGTTCTCTTTTGTAAAGTGCCCACTTATTCAAGTCTTTAGCCCATTTGTCTATTAGGTCATCTATCTTTTTCTTACTGGTTGTCGAGGTTTTTATATATACTGGATACATGGCCTTCGATAAATATATTGAAAATAGGAAAATATCTTCTAGTCCGGTTCCTGCCTTTTCTTATTCTCTTTGTATTGTATTTATTATTGTCTTTTTTGAGTGAAGTAAAATTTACTTCTACTGATCTATTTTCCAGGTCTCTAATCCTATCTTCTGTTGTGTCCAGTTTGCTATTTTACCTATTCAGTGAGTTCTTAATTTCAAATATTGGATATTTCACTTCTAGAATGTTTGCTTGATTCTTTTTAAAATAGATTCCAATTTTCTATTGAAATTGTCCATTTTAAAACCCATTTTATCAACATTTCCTCTATTTTCTTTAATATATAAACATAGTTATACTAGAGTCCTTGTTTGCTAACTCAGGTAATGGGATCATCTGTATGTCAACTTTTATCATATATTTTCCCTCTTGATTGTTGGTCACATTTTCCTGCCTTTTGCAATAATTCATGTTGTGCACCAAACATTATTTATATTAGATTCATAGAGGCCCCAGATGATGTCTCTCATCAGACAGATTCCTCCCTTTTCTTTGTTAGGCAGGTAGAGTAAGATAGGCTGGCTACCTAAAGCCAATTAAGGCTTGAGTTAGGTTAGGGCTGAGTTTCAGTTCTAGTAAAATTTAGTCCAACTTTGGCTTGTTCTTGTTCTGAAGTTATGACCCTCCTGAGTTTTGAGCTTACAGCCTGGTTGATCCTTGTCTCCTCAGCCCTGAAGGAGTATGGGAGATTTGCATCTATCCTTTGGTGGTTTTGAGCTTAATTCGTTAGCTGCATTCCCCGTCCCTCCTTTCCCCCCGCCCACTACATACACACATAGCTTCAAATCTTTGTAAAATGTTTTGAGAGGAAATACCAGTGTGTGTGTGAGGAAATCCCTCTTCCTCTATTCTCTTAAGCATCATGGGAATCATGGAAGATTTTGTTTTGTCTTTTAGAGGCCCTCAGCCCAGCTTTCTAGCCTCCCTTGCATAGCCAGATTCAGATGTCCCATAGGGAAAACTTGTTATGCATTTAGAGTGCCTCAAATTTCCAATATGTTTTGCTAATCCTTTTTTAACTATCACAAGTCTTACTGGTTTCTCTTTCTTTCATATATGACTCTCTGCCTAGTCCAAGTCTCAGCCACACTATGGTTCCCAAATCAAATACTCCTGGAGAACAAAAGAGCTGGTGATTATTAGTTAACTTTGGAGGGTCTTACCCATTGGAGTTTGACTTCATCGCATCCTTATGGCACTCATATTCCTCAATTTGTTTAAAAATATGATTTGTGTAATTTATCCAGGTTTCCCTAGTCGTTGCAGTGAAAGTGTTGGGCTATCATGGTCTATTATATCCAATGCAGGAGCCGAAGTCCAGACACCTAGCTTAAATGGAGTCAGAAAGAACCACTACTCAAGGCATACAAGAGTTAATAAGAGTGTGAGCAGCTGCATATTACACACAGCCTTGGAGAAAGGAGCCCCTCAATGGAACATGGTAGAACTTTGAGTGAGTGCAAAAGTAGAGACATGAGCTTAAGGACTTGATTTATGAGATCTGACATCAACCTAAACCACACAGCATGGAACCTTAGATGAAGACAAGCAGAAGCCTTTCCAAAGCACTTTCATAATTATAATTCAACAATCAACTGTTTAGATTTGATTTTTCCAGTAAAATATAAACTCTGGGAAGACAAGAACTTTGCCTGCCTTCTTCACTTTGATCACTTCATCACCTAAACAAAGCATACAGACTTCTATTTGGTAGGTTATTAATTAATTAATAATCAATATTTGACAAATTTTGGGTTCACATGGTAAAAGTCAATACCATAGCCCCTCATCAGTCCTCTACAGTTGGTTGTAAATAATTGTGCTTATATTACCTACAGAGTAAACATTATAGAATTATCACTCCAGAATCCTTTGTTTCTATGGTTTCCAGATGTTTCCAGTGTCTAGATGTTCCAGCTGCTCATCTCTGAGAAATCCAGCTGTGTCTCACCATGGATGCCACAGCCTGTAATGAATCAGTGGATGGCTCACCCATCTTCTATCTGGTGGGCATCCCCTCTCTGCCAGAGATCTTCTTCCTCCCTGTGTTTTTTATTTTCCTCCTCTTCTACCTTCTCATCCTGATGGGTAATGCCCTGGTTCTGGTGGCCGTGGTGGCAGAGCCCAGCCTCCACAAGCCCATGTACTTCTTTCTGATCAACCTCTCCACCTTGGACATCCTTTTCACCACAACAACTGTCCCCAAGATGCTGTCCCTATTCTTGCTTGGGGACCGCTTCCTCAGCTTTTCTTCCTGCTTACTGCAGATGTACCTCTTCCAAAGTTTTACATGTTCAGAAGCCTTCATCCTGGTGGTCATGGCCTATGACCGCTATGTGGCTATCTGCCACCCACTGCACTACCCTGTCCTCATGAACCCACAGACCAATGCTACCTTGGCAGCCAGTGCCTGGCTTACTGCCCTCCTCCTGCCCATCCCAGCAGTAGTAAGGACCTCCCAGATGACATACAACAGAATTGCCTACATCTACCACTGCTTCTGTGATCATCTGGCTGTGGTCCGGGCCTCCTGCTCTGACACCACCCTCCAGATCCTCATGGGCTTCTGCATCGCCATGGTGGTGTCCTTCTTCCCCCTTCTCCTGGTGCTTCTCTCCTATGCCCACATCCTGGCCTCGGTGCTTCGCATCAGTTCCCGAGAAGGACGGGCAAAAGCCTTCTCCACCTGCAGCTCCCACCTCCTGGTGGTGGGCACCTACTACTCATCTATTGCTATAGCCTACGTGGCTTACAGGGTTGACCTGTCCCTTGACTTCCACATCATGGGCAATGTGGTATATGCCATTCTTACACCAATTCTCAACCCCCTCATTTACACTCTGAGAAACAGGGATGTAAAGGCAGCCATCACCAAAATCATGTCTCAAGACCTAAGCTGTGACAGGAGCATTTGACCTTTAAATGCAGCTAATTCTGCTTCCAGGACACCAAATAACAGTGCTTAGCACAGAGTAAGGACTCAATACATAATAATGAAATAATGTTAATTTTTATAGGAATATTAAGTTGTTGTATAAAATTTTGCTATTTAGTAATCCAAGAAACCTTTACTAAAATAAAAAATCTTCATGGCAAAAAATTATTATAAGCAAAGTCAAAAAAACAAATAAAAAACATATCACAGGGAAATGCAAATATTCATATTATACAAAGAATGTAGAAGACTGAAATAAACATTTCAATAAAAACATGGGCAAATATATGTGTAGACAAATCACCAAAAAAATGCAGTGGCCTTTAAATAATGAGTCTTCACTTTATAAAAAGAATACGAATTTAAATTGTGCTGAAATGCTATTTTTCACTTAATCAGATTAGCAAAAATCCAATATTTTGACAATATGCATGTAGAAAAACAGAACTTTTATAACTTGCTTGTGAGGATACAAATTGGTATAACACTACCACAATACCTACCAAAAGTACATATGCATTTACCCTTTGACTCAGCAGTATCACTTCTAGGGATCTATCCCGAGGAGTCACTGTCAATCATTCATTAGGTTACGTATTCATCACTATACAGGGAACTTATTGAATAAACTGTGAAAATGCATGATGCAGTAATAAAAAGGAAATGAGGAAGCTCTCTACTGATATGGTATCATCTCTAGGATATGTGTTAAGTGAAAAAAAGCAAGCTGCAGAAAAGTGTTTTTGTAAGAAAGGAGATAGTTTGCTTAAAATTTCAGGAAAAAGCTAGGGGGAAAATGCGAACTCATAAAGATGGTTATCTATAAGGAGAGGGAGGGAACAGGAAGGGACGGAACCAGAATGGAAGCAAGACTATATATATGTAATTATTTTTACATAGTTCAAAGAAATCAGAAAGAAAAACCCCACAATTCCCTCAATTTAAAATAAACAGAAGCACTTGACCCTGGCTGTCTCTCAAGTTAGTGGCATGACCACACAGAAAATTACTATAAGTGACTTTTAAACAATGTTTTGATATACATCCTAAAAGGGGTATACTAAAAGGACAAGAAAAATCACATCTTAAACTGCATTGAGGAGTTTTTGTTTGTTTGTTGTTTGTTCTGAGAAGAGGCCTTGCTCTGTCACCCAGGCTGGAGTGCAGTGGTGCTATCTCAGCTCATTGCAGCCTTGACTGCTAGGGCTCAAGTGATCCTCCCACCTCACCTCCCTGAGTAGCTGGGGCCACAGGCACATGCACCACTACTCCTAGCTAGAGGAGTTTTAAAAACATGCATATTACAGTTTTACTTATTTAATATATATTAGATGTAAATTACGTATTTCTATAACCAAAACCATTTTTATCATTTTATTTTACCATGCATGGTTTTATATTTACAGAGAGTTCCAAAGATATGAGAGTTCCCATATATCCTTCACCCAAATTCCTCTGTGTCAACATCTTACATAACCATGATACACTTATCAAAAGTAAGAAGTTAACATTGGTAAAATACATACTATTAATTATACTAGAGATTTTATTCAAATTTCTCCTGTTTTTCCAGTAATGTCTTCTTTCCATTCCAGGATTCAATCCAGAATGTCACGTTGCATTTTATTATATCTTCTTGGTTGCCTGACTTTTATTGGTCTTTCCTTGTCTTTCGTGACCTTGACACTTCTGAAGAGTCAATAGTAAATTTGGCTAAGTGAAAGAATCCAATCTAAAAAGGCTGCATACTGTATGATTCTAACTGGAATTCTGGAAAAGGCAAAACTATGAAGACAGTAAAAAGCTCAGGGGCTGCCAGGGGCTAGGAGAAGGGAGGGATTAATAGGCAGAACACAGAGGACTTTTAGGACAGTGAAACTATTCTGTATGATACTACAATAGTGGATACATGTTATATATTTGTCAAGACTCATAGAATGTACTACACCAAGAGTATACTATGGCCTTTGGGTCATAATGTTGTGTCAATGTAGGCTTGAATGTAACAAATGTAACCACTCTGGTGGGGGATGTCATTCTAACAGTTATGTAGTGGTATCTTATTGTGGTCGTAATTCAATTTAATTACATTTCCCTATAACTAATTGTGTTGACCATCTTTCATGTGCTCATTTTCTATCCATATATCTTTTCTGGTGAAGTGTGTTCAGATCCTTTGCCTGCTTTTTAATCCAGGTTGTTTGTTTTCATAACATTGAATTTCAGGTGTTCTTTATATATTCTAGGTATAAATTTGTTATTAGATATTTGATATACAAGTAGTTTCCCCAGTCTTTGAATTCTCATACAGTGTCTTTTGCAGAGCAAAGGTTTTCCATTTTGATAAAGTCTAACTTATCATTTTCCTTTATGGATTATGATGTTTGATAACATATCTAAATACTCATCACCAAACCAAAGGTCATGCAGATTTTGCCCTATAGAAAACAACGTTTCTAGAAGTTTTCCATTTTTGATTTCATTCTATGAACAATTTTGAGTCAATTCTTGGATAAGGTGTGAGGTTGAGGTTGAGATTTTTTTTTTTTTTTTTGCGTATGAGCATCCAATAATTCCAGCACCATTTGTTATAAACCGTTCTCTATCAAATTGCGTTTACACTTTTGTCAAATATCAGTTGATTATATTTGTGTGTATCTATTTGTGGGCTCTCTATTCTGTTCCACTGATATATATGTCTATCCTTTACCAATACCACATAGTCTCGAATACTGTAGCTTTATAGTTAGTGTTGAAATTCCGTAATGTGACTCCTCTGACTTTGTTAATTTTTTTTATAATTGTTTGGTTATTCTAGTTCCTTTGCTTTCTAATATAAATTTTAGAACCAACTTACTGGGATTTGGGGAGGGGAGGGACTATGTTAAATCTATAGATTAAATTTGGGACAACTGACATTTTAACAATGTTGAGTCTTCCAATCCATGAATATAATATATCTCTACATTTACTTAGCTCTTTAATTTTATTCATTACAAACTGCATTCTTGGGATGAATGAACCCCATTTGGTTGTGACATATTTTTCCCTTTATATATTACTAGATTTGACTTGCAAATATTTTGTTTAGGATTTTTGCATCAAAATTTATGAGAGATATCAGGGTGTAGTTTTCTTGTAATTTCTTTGTCTGGTTTGGTATTAGATAAATGCTGTCCTCATAAAATGAGTCAGGAAGCTTTCCTGTCTCTTCCACATTCTCAAACACATTGTATAGAATTGGTGCTATTTCTTCCTTAAATATTTGGTAGAATTTGCCTGTAAAATTTCCAGGGCCTGGAGTTTTCTTACAGGAAGTTTTAAACTACAAAATTAACTATTTAATAGATACAGAAAATTTTCCATTATCTATTTCTTCTTGAATGAACTTTATAATTTCTGCCTTTTAAGAAATTAGTCCATTTTGTCCAAATTTTAGAATTTATAAAGAGTTGTTTGTACTGTTCCCTTATTATCCTTTTAATGTCTGTGATGTCTACTCTTTCATTCCTAATATTGGCAATTTGTGTTTTCTGTTATTTTTTCTTGGTTAGTTTAGCTTTAGGTTTACCAATTTATTGATTTTTCAAAGAATCAGCATTTAGTTTGTTTATTCTAATTGTTTTCCTGTTTTCAATTTTATTGATTCTTCCTCTAATCTTTATATTTTTTTCTCTACAAAATTTGGGTTTAATTTGATCGTTTTTCTAATTTCTTGACGTGGGAGATTAGATCATTGATATGAGACTTTTCTTTTTCTTTCTCTTTTTTTTTTTTCTTTTGAGACAGAGTCTCGCTCAGTCGCCCAGGCTGGAGTGCACTGGCCTGATCTCGGCTCACTGCAAGCTCCGCCTCCCGGGTTCACGCCGTTCTCCGGCCTCAGCCTCCCAAGTAGCTGGGACTAAGGGCGCCCGCCGCCGCGCCCGGCTAATTTGTTGCATTTTTAGTAGAGAGGGCTTTTCACCGTGTTAGCCAGAATGGTCTCTGTTTCCTGACCTCGTGATCCACCCGCCTCGGCCTCCCAAAGTGCTGGGATTACAGGCGTGAGCCACCGCGCCCGGCCGAGACACTTATTTTTCAGTGTAAGCGTTGAAGTCTGTACATTTCCCAATAGCTCCCACATTAGCAACTTCACACGAATTTTGATATGTTGCATTTTTATTTTCATTTCATTCTAAATGTATTTTAAATTTCCCTTAAAACATCCTAATTGACCCATGGTTATTTCAAAGTGTTTTTATTTAATTTCAAAATATTTGGAAGATTTTCCCAATCACTTTCTGTTACTGTTCTCTAGTTTAATTCCTTTATGGTTCAAGAATATGCTTTGTATGATTACTATTCTTTTTTTTTTTTTGAGACGGAGTCTCACGCTGTTGCCCAGGCTGGAGTGCAGTGGCGCGATCTCGGCTCACTGCAAGCTCCGCCTCCTGGGTTCACGCCATTCTCCTGCCTCAGCCTCCTGAGTAGCTAGGACTACAGGCGTCCGCCACCGCGCCCGGCTAATTTTTTTGTATTTTTAGTAGAGACGGGGTTTCACTGTGGTCTCGATCTCCTGACCTTGTGATCCGCCCGCCTCGGCCTCCCAAAGTGCTGGGATTACAGGCTTGAGCCACCGCGCCCGGCCTTATGATTACTATTCTTTAAAAAGCTTTTCTATTCTTTTACATTTTTTGTTTAATGGCCTAAAATATGATCTATCTTGGTGAATGTTCTGTGCACTCTTGGAAGTGTATTCTGCTATTATGTGGAGTGTTTTATAAATGTCCATTAGGTCTAATTGTTTAATATTGTTTTTTAGGCCTTCTATATCTTAACTGATTTTCTATCAGCTTGATCAATTCCTGAAAGGGAAATATTAAAGTTTCTAACAATAATTATGGATTTGTCCATTTCTCCCTTCAATTTCACCAGTTTGTAAGAAAATTTCCACTTTTTAGATTCGGGGGTACACATGCAGGTTTGGGACACAGGTAAATTTCATGATGCTGAAGTTTGGGATATGAATGATCCCGTCA